TCTCAAAAGGACCATAGCTGATCTTGGTTCCTAGATAGGTGTGCTGTGAGACCCATGGGATGAGGCAATCCCCGTGTTGGCGGGGCACAATGAGGTAGCGGCCTCCTTTGTTGTGTTTGGTCCATCTCTTGAATAGTCCCGCCACCTTCGAGCCCGACATCCGAAGCAAACAGGCAGTCTTCCGCAGATTGACCACTAGTTGATTGGCCTCAAGGACATCAAGGAGGTGACCTATGTCTATCAGTGCTCGGGGGAGATCCTCAAGATGGTCAAACTCCCATTTCAGCACTAAGTCATCAGCATACGAGATTAGATGGGCCCTCAACCACTCCAGCGGCTGGTCAATGCTAGCAAGAAATTGCATCAGAATGTCAAGCAAACAAACATTCCACTGGAGGGGCGAGGCCACACAGCCTTGGCGGGTTCCCCTGGTGGGTACCAACTGGCAGGATTGACCCCGGTGGTCAATGTGATACGCTGCACCATTCAGCCAGGCCAGGAGCAGGACTTTAAGGTCGGGGGGGCAGTTTACCTGATCTAGTCCAGGACCTAGTCTATCACGAGGCATTCGATCGAAAGCTTCAGAAAGGTCCAAGCTCAGACACAGTCCCCCTCCTATTCGACGTGGTGCTTCCCCCGCGCGTCTCTGCCATAAATTTTTCATGGCGCTCTGACTCCTGGCACGAACATCACGGCAGTGATGAAAGACCGCTATTAAGGCATCTATCGTGGATCTATGAGGTAAGTAGCCTAACAATGGAGCTTGACAGAGACTTGGCAAAACATGCGGCCGGACCTTCTGCATCAAGGTTTGAAGCACACATTTGCCCAGGACATCCGTCAAGGCGATAGGCCTGACATCTTTCGGGGTCTGCACTGCCCGTTTTGCAATTAGGGTTAGCCAGGCCGCCTGCCAGTGCTGCCTTACGATGGCACCACTCACGAACGAGCAACTGATGACAGATCTGGGCAAGGTCATCCGCTAGGCCTCTGACCACGGCAGGTTGCAGGGAGCCTGGAGCCACTGCCTTGGTCAAAGGAACACGTGCCAGATTGTATCGGAGATCAGCTGCAGTGAAAGGCATGCTCGACAGACGGACAGATGGACCAGGCATCTGAGGGGTGGACCCACAGTAGACGGTCTTGAAATGCTGGCGAAGGAGGTCCAGTTCGACCTCAGGGCTTTGGGCTAGCCCTGTGGCTGTGCGGAATCGAATTGGCCGAGACGGCTGCTTAGGGCTAAGTTCACGGACTATCATGTGGAGTTGACGTTGATCATGAGCCCGATCGGCCTGTTCGGCTCGGTGCATTTGCTCTTGGAACCGATCCTGCTTCAGTCTGTGTGCGTGAACAGTCATGGCTTTATGCAGTCGACTATGGATGGTGGCGTGAGTCCAGGCTTGGAAACTCGAACGAAGGTCAGTGACTACCAAGCGCCTGAGCTGATGATAGTGAGACCACATAGTGGCGGCATACCTGTGACTGGCCGGATGTCTCCAATCAGGTTCAGTTCGGCAGGGGAAAAAGGTGGGGATCCAGTAGTCATGGGACCAGTTACTGACCTGCTCAAGAGTCGACCATGTCGGATGCTGAACTTGCAGGCGGGCCTGGGCTTGAGGCACGAACTCCTGCCAGGCGGCATCTTGTGCCCTGTAGTGCATCTGGAGGTCCTGACGTTGGTGCCAAGTCCAGCGTCGATTCCGAGTCGTGGGGAGCTTACGCCAGACCTTCCAGTGAGCAGGCAGACTGCTTAGGATCGGCATATGGTCACGGAGTGCTCTCCACCCTGCCACCGGGAATGACTGAAAGACTCGGCTGCGCTTAACCTGTATATCCTGTTGACATCGTCTCATGAGGACATGATCAATTGTGGACTTGCCTCCGGGACCTTCGAAGGTGTGTGCATGGTCATAGGGCCGAACCGTTGCAAGCGTGTGCTTGCGGCAGAGCTCACGAAGTTCCCAGGCATCCTGCGGTTCATGGGATTGTTTGTGGAGGTCAGTATTGAAGTCTGCAGCTACAACAAGAACATTCCTGATAGGGAGGTGTGTGAGGATGGTGTCCAAGGAGGACCATACCTCGGCTCGGCTATCAAACGGCTTAGCTCTTGTGGAGGTGACTTCAGTGGTGTATTGATATACCTGGACTATTTCGAGAGTCGTCTGAGCCAGCCGGCATTTGACATGCTGAACTCGACCAGGTATGGGCGAGGAACTTGACAGGTCCTGTTGGCCGCACAAGCGATGGTGAACCAGGGTCAACAATCCTCCATGGTCTCTACGGTCCTCTGTCCCGGCCGAAAGGGCCCACTACCCATATGTGCTCCAATCTTTGGTGAGATGCCAGCGTGTGCCCTGAATACATGCAATGTCAACCGCATGATGACTCAAGTACAACATGAGCTCTTGCCAAGTGGCGCTGGTGAGCCCTCCTGCGTTCCAGGACAGAAAGGAGCAGCGTGGCCCGCCAGTCTTCTGATGCAGGGTCTCAGGCCGGTTCAGGAAGGGAAAAGTCGCCCAGGTCGCATGCATGTTGGAGCCACTTGACATCAAAGGAGATGCTGGGACCGCCAGTGGTGGTGTCAAACAGCTCGGCTGGGTGGTCATCCACAGGCGGCCTTTGTATGAAGTGCAGCCATCGCGCAGCAGGCGGTGCACCGCTTTCCTAAAGCTCTTCTTCGTGCTCCAGGTTGAGCTGAGCCCTTGTGCCCCGTTGGGGCCTACTATTTGCCCTATTCCACAGTTCTTTTGGAGGGTACCAGGGGTAGCTCGACCGGTCGGGTCTCCTCCTCCCTCTGTCGTGGACCAGAGGGAACCCTCACCTCTCATGGACCAAAAACTTTGCCAAGACTCGCTGAGGCACCGTGGTCCACGCCCGGACTTGGGACCGGGATGCCCAAGAAGCAGCCAACCGATCAGCAGCAGCTGGAAGAACAAGCCAGCGGCCACCATGCAAAGTCGTGCGAGATCGTGTGGCGGGATCGGAACCCCGCTACTGGGGGGCTGTCATGTTGGCCATCTTGAGCATAGAGGCTTGAAGGACAAAAGGAGGACACAGGGTTGGCAAGCGCAGCCAGAGGACAACAACAGGACAAGAGAAGGACAACACAAAGGCCGGACACATAGTTCAGGGGCTCGGCCAGCCAGTGTGGCCTGCTCCCTTTGTCCTAAGAGAGAACCCCAACAGCAAACTGCTTGGGGAAAAAGCAAGCGGCCTAATCTATTGCCTTTTTTCTCTGCGGTGCTCCGACGTGTGGAGCAAGTTGACCGCGTGAGGCTGGAGAACTTTCTCCTTTTCCCAAGGGGACAACGACAGATTCTGGAGAACTGAGCCACATTCTGAGATTCGACTCACGCACCACCAACTTGAATTGGGAAGGTTTATGCCTTCCTGCTTCAGGCCATTTCAGATTTATGAGAATGGCCCTTTGTGGCAGCCCCCACCTTGTGAAAAGCGGGTGGAGGCCAGGGGGGGGCCAACATAGTATGTGTGTGCTTGCCTTGGTCCATTGCATTGAGTTCGATGCGGAATGTGTTCTTTTAAATCTACACGAGCCCAGCCACTTTCCAGCCTAGATGCTGTCATTGCACAAGGACGTGCCTGAAGTTATACAGCGTATAGATATGCTGATGCCTAGCGTGCTTCGCCCAGCTGCCTTGTTGAAGCCAAGTCGGCAGATGTTTTAGAAATTTGATCCGGACCAACCCTGTTTCTTCCAAGATTCATGCCATCAAACTGAGGGGGGTCAAGCGGATATCCTGCTGAAGAAATTGGCTGGCAACAGTGTCTCAACAAGCGGAAAGGACAATGTGATAGGCCAGATCTTTGTTGCATTCGATTTCCTTCTGTGGCATTGGTTTCAGAGGCGGTGTTGGGCTGACACCAGAGGTGCCTTGCGACCTTGCGAGCCAGCAAACAACATCAATGGTGGAATGTCTTAGATGCCACATACCGTGCAGGAATCATCCGCATTTCAAGAGCTGATCACGGGCCTGAACCTGTCTCGTTCAGTGATTCTCAAGGCCTTAGCCGCCTTGGCCTTCACGAATGAAGCAACGATTGGATATAATTTGGATCTGCATGATACAACCATAAACCACCAATATATATATATGTATATGTGTATCTAGTACAAGCGTGGGCACACTAGAATAAGCTGGGACATGTTGTTCACATGTTCGCGGCTGTTTGCAGCTGTTCGTTCCTCTACTCTTCCCCACGAGCGTCGGCCGTCTATCGAAAGATTTTGCACACTTGGCAGGCAACAGTGTTTTGCTTGGACAAGTCAATGTCATCGCTGGCCATCGCACAGAAGATCAGTGCAAGTATAACTGAGGCTAGGCAAAGGTCCAACGATTGCTGTCGCCGCGACTGTCGCCTCCCTTTTTTGTGTGGATGACTCCTGGAGGCACAAACCGGCCTTACGACCCAGCAACTTGTTGCGCGGATGTACTTGCTGAACGATGTCCGCCCGAGAGAAATTAACATGCCACATGCCTTCGTCTTCTCTCAAATGCTTGGCAGGTCCTGTACAATGCGCATTGCACAATGCTTGGCGATCAGTGTTGTCATCCTAATTGCAGCATTGAAACAGCAAACCAACAACCCAACCATGAACCTTCCCGATTCCTGCCTGATGCTGCAGGCACCAGGCCTGGAGCTTCTCAGTACCGGCGGCAGTTCCAAGAGATGCTGCCAGTTTCCGCCTTGGAGCAAAAGTCTTCAATCACCTCCCTGTGTGCCAGTTGCTACGCAACTTGACTTAAGGACGTTATTGAGAGACTCCGAGAGGCAATGTTGATCTTATACATGCAGTCAGAACAAATACCGCTAAGAAATGCTAGTGCAGTTGATGTGGTCAAAAAGACTCAGGTGGCCCGTGGGTAACAATCTGATTGCAGGTGTGTGATGGCATCTCTTCCATCGCTGCAATTGCTCTTCGAGAGCGTGCGCTGAGCTGAGAAACAAGCGCCTCGTGTTTTCAACATTGCAGCTGACCCTTTCCGAATGGACTTTCAACTTTCAACAGCCATGTTCATTTTGTTCACCCCTTTTGTTGGCGCTGCTGCTCGTTGCACTTGTGAACAAGAACATCTAAATTTATGTTCTTGGCCGACTTGAAAAACAGCCTCATTACAGCTAATTTTCAATGTAGTGAGACTGACTGTTCTTGCAGGGCCTAAGAGTGCTTTGCACGTCGAATGTATTTCATAGTATTTCATTCAACAAGCAACTTCAAGATGTGCATGTCAAAGAGGTGGATCAGATTTTGGTAGAACATGTACAGATGGAATATTGATATGCAGATAAAACTTTAGAAGCATTGGCGTAAGATGTGGGATCCGGGATTCGGTAACATTTGGCTCCTGGGCACTTTCTAGTTGATGGCCTCAGA